GTGACACCAACCCTAGTGACACCATGTTCACACACCTATCCCAGACCCAACCTTGGTTCACTTCTTAACTAGCCATTGTGCGAAGCATCTGAGAAGCCCCATAGTTGCCCCATCTGATGCTGAAACGGGAGATCTGGCTGCATCCATATGTCCAGGTGCCCCATTTCTGTATCAGACAGGGTGACTGGAGGGCTTCTCAGATAGTTTGTACACCAGCAGGTAAGGAGCTCAGGTGGAACAGCCCAGTTTTGCCACAGTTTCTTAGAATTTTATTTTACCCCAGGATAAAAGCTCTTCACCCCAGGATCAGACCAGTCTGTACTTGGGCCCAATCCCACCACGGGGGTTTTGGCCTGCATTGTCAAAACTATATACAACATGAGGCCGGGGGAACCTGGGCCGTTTGGCCCATGCAGACAACCCCGCAGTGTCCAACAAGCACTTTTTTCTTAGAAGTTCAAGAATCCTATTTAGGCTCTTTACTGTAAAAATTCACATATTTTTGGGAAACAAACCCTAAATAAAAAATCCTAAATAAAAATAAATTCTGAATCAAAGGCATATTCATTTGCCATGGTAGCTAGCATGAAACATTTAGAACTTTATCACATGCAGGTTTTAAACTGCTTTTAAAGTTCAAAAATAACACCTTTGGCTTACTTACATAGCGCCATCGCCATCTTGTTGCTGGGTTGCCATCCAACTATAGTTACAATGCACCTTGTAATTGATGGGGAAACCATCAATAAGTTCCCAAACACACAGCTGTGCCATTAATTCCCAGGTGTGATAAGTTCTTTATGTCACATTTCTGGAATTTGAGCAATAACGTGTTGTCAGTGTCCCCTCCTCTTCCCCTGTCCCCTTCCCCCTCGCTATTCCCAGGAAGGGTTTTTCCCAATTAAAGATGTTTTTAAATTTGTTTTTTTTTTACTTTTTTTTAAAAAAATTGTTTTTGCATACTCCTGGGATAACATTAAAACTTTTAAAAAAACACCCCGCAAATTTAAAAACCCTGAAAGGCATGCTGGGTAGGTATAGGGCAGGGGTAGGGAGGAGTGCGGAAGAGAGCGCGAGGCCCCATTTGTGCTATTGCAAGGACACATGAGAGGGAATGCTTCAAAAACATGTATCTGGTTCCCCTTACTAGTGTGATTGTGATAAGAAGAGCTCCTGTCCTTAGAAAAATTTAGCAGAAAAGAGGGCTACATTCTCATGAATTTTTGGGTGTGAGGGACTAGAATTTACTGCATGTCTTCTGATCCTATTTCTTTTTCCTTTGTTCAGCTTGCCCTAGAACCCAGTGGAGATGACAGAATACAAACTGGTGGTGGTGGGTGCTGGTGGTGTTGGGAAGAGTGCACTGACTATACAGTTGATCCAGAATCACTTTGTGGATGAATATGACCCTACTATAGAGGTAGGCAGTCTTCACAGTGTTGGAAACATCTTCTATGTGGCCCAGTCAATCCAGAGTCTCTTCTTTATCCGTTCTTTGCTTTATTTGCCTGTGATCTTCATTTTTTTAAAAAATTGCCACCTCTTCAAAAAAATTTCCATGGTTTAAACAATTTGTTCTGTTCCCCTCATTCTGCCTTACTGTGCACTCTTCTGTGTCTTTGAAAACAGAATTATATGTTAAATTTACAGTTCTGCTTACCAAATGAAAAGTAAACATCTTTAAATAATGTTGGGTTTGCTGTCCTCTTGCCATGGTTATTTTCTTGCCTCTTTTTCTTTCTTCTAAATTAGATTTAGCATTTGACTATTGGACTAACAATTGAGTTTGAGAGATACATGTGCAATGAGCAAAAGAAAAAAGTAACCTTTGCTCCACAGTGACTTCTTCCTGTTACAGTTTCATTTTTACTTTTCTCCTGTTGGTGTTTCTGAACCCAGGATTCATACCGGAAGCAGGTGGTAATCGATGGAGAGACATGTCTCCTGGATATCTTGGACACAGCTGGGCAGGAAGAGTACAGTGCTATGCGTGACCAGTATATGAGGACAGGAGAAGGCTTCCTGTGTGTCTTTGCAATCAACAACACAAAGTCTTTTGAAGATGTTCACCACTACAGGTAAGAGGACAGTTAAGTGTGGGTGGCCCATCTGTCAAGCCTCTCGCCAGCCAACAGAGATATTGGTTTGGATACGAAAGAAGCAAGCCAAAGACAACCTTAAGAGATGGAAGTGGGAGAAATGGGAAGATCAGCAGGGGTTTTCAGTTACTGTATTTCAGTTCTGGCTCTCTTTTTGCTTAAAAGAACCCTTCCAAATGTTTTCTCCACTGGAGAAAAATAGCTGGTTGTGTGAAATTTAAAGCCGCAAAAGGCTCAAGAGAGAAGTACGATACAGAGTTTCACCGTATCAGACATTTTTCCATCCAACTTTACTGCGTTCTGAACGTTTAGTTTAAACAAACACAAAAATGGGAGTACACTTTTTCATTGTCCATGACTTTCCTTCGGTGTAATTCCAGAGAACAGATCAATCGTGTGAAAGACTCTGATGATGTTCCTATGGTGCTTGTCGGCAATAAGTGTGATCTGCCATCTCGGACGGTCGATACTAAACAGGCTCAGGAGCTTGCCAGAAGTTACGGAATCCCTTTTGTAGAGACTTCTGCCAAAACCAGACAGGTAGGATACTGTGCAAATAATGGGAGTTGAATGGTCCTTGGATTGCTGCCTTTACACTCAGGCATTGGGCTAAATACAACATTCCACTGTTGATGGAATTCTCCCAACTTCTTTCTGTTTCCCATTTAGCTCTGCAATTTGCCAAAAATAGCTCCAGGAGTGCTTTTCAGGGTGCATGGGAAACTGCAGTTTTAGGGAAGGATCAATACCTCCCAATTCCACTGGATTCTGTCATTCTTCCAGCAGAAAACTGCCCAATTCCTCTAGTGGTATTGGGTGCAGATTTTGGTGACTTGTGTACAGTCATAATTGTTGTGACCTGCTCAGTCTGATTTCCCGACATGAACCTTGGATTTGTTTAAATATTAAACACCTCATAACAACATCACACTTGCTGTTATACAACTTAAGTATGGTGGCTACAATTATTAT